GTTGTTAATACTTGTTATCCGCTTCAAACGATGATGCACACAGACAGCATTCAGAGGGTGGAGGACCATAGTGGGACGACGGGAGCTGCAGAGAAATGTTGCATGCGATGCAGACTCAGCATCGAGGTTATGTGTGTATCAGTAGAAGCTGTCACCACTGAATAACGCATTCTAGACCGTGACAGCGGCATGTTTAGTATCCTGAGACCAGTAACACTGAAAAAGCCCGGCATGGACGTGCCCCCGGGAAGAACCGCATGAGGAGGTTAAATTATTGATAACACCGTGCTGAGCAGGAAGTTGAAATCTCAATTTGGAAAGTACCAAGTGCTGGAAACTCAGCAGAACAGAAGGCTATCGTAGCTTCACGCAAGTGCCGTCAAGTGCTTGGCAGAACTTTCATTGTACGAATCTAAGACAGTTGGTTTGGAAGAGCCATCTGTCGCTTTCAAGGGAACTGCGCTCTGTTGAGCGAACCAGAATAATTTGACCAAATTATTGTAAGAACGTCGACAAAAGAAGTGTAAAACGGATTGCTGAATTTTTGATGCCAACATAATTTTTTATTTTGAGCTTTGACGAGCATCTAACGGAAAATTCTATGAAATGATTCAGTAACGGAATTAGCATGTAAAAAATTTAAATGGTACTTGTAAAATTTCGTTTCAATTTCTATTACTTTTGTGTAGTCGCAGTTTTTCTTTATTTTTCTTGAATGTTCTCTTGTCAGTGTTCATTGAACTGCACGCCCCCCCCCCCGCTCCCCCCCCCCCCCCCCCCCCCCCCCCCTCTGTAGAGAAATAAGTATTTAGAAATGATATATTTTGATATATTAATAAATTACATAATATGATGCTTTCTTTAAAAAGCACATACATTAACTAACAGGTTTGTTATATTTATACAACACCACAAAGAACACTCAAAGATAACAATTCTACTTCGGCAGGGCCCAGAGTTAAAATAGCCTATGATAGAGACGACATTTGTTACTGCCGGGCAGGAAGAGATTTCATTGCGCGATTGGAAAACTATGCAGTGCTTCCTAGAACTTATTGTTGGCTGGAAAGAATTACTTATTAATGTGTCTGCACTCGCTCAGTGGATCAAAATTAGAATGACCCCTCTACTCAATACTCAGCACTTACATTTGGCAGTTTTCTTAGTTTTAGCACTTGAAATGGTTCTCTTGACTAACAGCTTGCCTCTGTTCATCCTGTTGACGAAATTATCAATTCCACAGCGGTTGGTTACGTTAAAAGTTCAGATATTTACTTCACAGATATTACTCGTGTGAAGCATTTACCTGCTTAATGTAACATTAAACTTTCCTTGCGTCGCTTACTCTCTATACTCTCGTTCCTCTCTCCATCTCTCCTCTCTCCTTTCACTCTTTCCCTCCCTATCCCTCTGCTGCCTCCCTCATCCTCTCTTCTCTTCCCCTCCGCAAGGCTCTCTCTCGCCTCTACACACTTGCCGTACTTAAAACTCTCCGCGCTTTCCCACTCTGTTGGCTTCCACTCATTCTCTTTCTCCCCTCCAGCCAAAAAAAGTGATCGCACACGCCATACCGGTATTCACACTACAGTATGGCTAAACCGTTTTTAGTTCATCTGGGCCGTCAAAGATGCAGCTTGTAGAATCGCATGATCGTCCGGTCCGTCCGCAGCGCCTCGACAGGCGTCCGTGCGTCCGTTCGTCAAACAAGTTGGGCACAAATCTTTACACCGCTCGACGTACGGATCACGTATATTCCGGACGTAAGGGGGGGGGGGTTATCGCCGAAAACGAGTTGAGATGCTCGCAAGCTGGGCCGCTCAAAGGTAAAAGCGACAAGAGGTGTCAAAAGAAGGCAGAAGACACACTTCACTCCTTAATTAAGGTGATAGGGAGGAATGCACAGAATTCGGCGGCAACCAAATTCTAAACAGGCTGCGACTAGGCTCGTGAATAGTCCGGTGTATTAAGCATCATGGTAGGGAAAGCCATCCACTGTGACCGAAAAGTATAGCGAAGGGTCACAGCGTCAAGGTA